GGGTGTGGCTGGTTTATTTCTGTTCGAATTGTGGCGACGACAGAAGTATTAAAGGGTAAAGCCTCGCAAGAGGTCGAAAACACCTTCAATCTTTTTAAGATCATCTTTTTAAATTTCTCCTTGACGGAATTTGGGACCACAATGTCGTCTACGTGTGTAAAATTCACACTATCGCAGTTGTAAAACTGTAACTTTTCTGCTGTATCCCTGTATTTATGGGTACCTTTATTTAAATTAATTATTACTCCTGCCTGTGTTAACAGGTCGAAGCCAATTATAGCATCAAAGGTGCCAAGCGTGTTTAGTATGAAAAACGGAGACACTTGTCGGAAGACCGACATGAGACATTTATTGGTGATTTTACTGGAGCCATGTATGGAACTCACAGTGAAAGACTTGGCGACTGGCATTATGTTTTTTAACTCCTTAACATAATTTACATAATTTTTTGCAGCGCCGGTGTCTGTTAAAATTTTTAGTGTCCTCCTAGCCAACTGTCTTTCGATGACGGGCAACCGGGAGCGCTCTCTAAAAAAATCAATGAATCAAAGTCAAATACAGATTCGTTATCCTCATCTACGTCATTGAGTTCCTGCTCAGGTGCGTTCTCATGGCTTTCCTCGGTGTTAACCGGGGCGCTCTAAACAACCTTGTTCAATCTCTGGCGCCTTTGGCCGGACACTTGTTCTGACGAGTTCTGTCTTTTGGTAGCAGCCGCGTTGCTAGCTTGGTGCTTGCCAAAATTTGTAGGCTGTCTAGATTTTGAGGATGAATCTATATCCATCGGCTTGGGCGCTTGGGGTTGTTGGTCTCTCTTGTTTTGGTTATTATTAGCGTTGTTATGATTACGCTTTACAAAGTATGGGTTTTTCTCTTGACGCTCATCCCTACTGTTCTTCCCCTGCTTGTACTGGGTACGAGCCCTGCCGGTTTCAGTAGCCTGGGCTTTTTCTTCAAGTGCTTAAGCATATGAAGATGAAAATAAATTTCGCTTCTCTGGCAAGTGCCAAAGCAGAGGGCAAGTCTTTGGGCTGCGCTGGGAAAACAATTGCCCTTAAGGATTTTTTTAAGCCTGATATGAAGCTCTTAGCTCCTTGTTTAATAAGTCAGCGCTTTCTTGGTCGTGAGACATGATAATTATGTTAGTAACCAGGGTAAGCTTTCGCTCGACAGTATCGTAATACTCCATTAACCCTAAGACGCCTTGTCTGACCATCTCTAGCGCTCGGCGCAGGGTGCGTAGTGATGTCCTATCTGAGTATGTACAATCTAGCCGTGCTATTATTGCATCGAAATTTAGCACCGTATTGTGCTACACTAATATTGCCTTCGCGGACCCTCTGATTTTGTTTCTAATTACAGTCACAGTGCTACCATTGTACGGCCTGAAAAGCTCGTATGCATCAGTGGCTGACTGCCGCCATGCCACGATTAACGCAGAAGCTTAAGTCAAATTAATTCAATGTTTCGTTTTGTCGATTGTTTTAAATCGGTACCACACAACATGTAATTGCAACAAAAATATGGTATTTTGTTTTGCCGATTGTTTTAAATCGGTACCACATAAAATGTAAATGCAAAAAATTATTTTTATTTAATCACTGCGTTGGCATAAAACGTAGAATGTGATTACATAGAAAAATTTTCTTTAATAAATTCTTTTAACTTTTATTTTCCTTTATTTATTTATTTTTCCACTTAGTTGAAGCTTTTATTTAAATTTACATGATTAAATGTGGGTTCTAGTATGTTGGGCGCCAATTATAACTAAGTGCGGAGTCCCGCGTTGTGATCCAAGTATTAGTACGTAACTCCCGCGTAGCTATTCAGATGTACAAACACTCAATCTAGTGATGTGTGAGTGGATCCCTCGTCGTAAAACAAATACACAAATGCGAAAGATTGCCAAAGATTGCGGTTGGTTATTTGTTAACTTCTTACGAAGATTAGGGTGGAGGTTTGACTTTACCTCTTTGACTTACTGGCCTTGTGGCTCAGCAGTATGATTCAATTAGAAAAAAAGCAATTACGGCAGCGTGTTGGAGTAGTGAATTCTTTATTGTTTCTTGAACAATGTTTGACACAAAACTAAAACTCCAAATCAAGAATGCTAAACTCTAAAGCCAAGTCTGGCACTCACATCACGCTACAATGTCATGGTCGGCAAGCCGACTCAGCATAATCATTGGCGATAAGCGGAAGACTCTTGGGACAATAACAAAAGTGTCCGATTACCGTTTCTGACCATTGCAACGGCAGAGCGCTGATGCAGACGTTTTGCGCTGTGATTGCTTAAGGCAACCCAACGAACAATTATAAGCGCTTGGATTGCTTAAGGCAACCCAACAAACAATTATAAGCGCTGTGAACGAAGCGACGCAAAGTACCATCGGCCAGCTTTGCTGAAGGCAGGCTGGCGACTAACTTCGTTGCTCGTGTCAGCATCAGCAAGCCGCGACTTCAGCATTGGAACAGCCAGTCGGCTTACAAGTCGTGCGAAATCGTAACAGCCAGTTTAGAAAACCAGACTAAAAATTTTTCGTCGCATGCAAATGTATGGGCGTTACTCATCTTGACTCTTTTTATAAACATTTTTTAATATGAACCATTAGTCTTGCATTATATAATATATTGAAAAAAGAAAATTAAAATTTATTGTGTCCATTTTAAAGATTTTTATACCCTTGCAGAGGGTATGATAATTTTGCCGTTCTTCATCAGCGGCCGAGTCGATATAGCCAGGTCCGTCTGTCTGTTTCTATGCGAACTAGTCTCTCAGTTTTAAAGCTATCTTAATGAAACTTTGCAGAAGTCCCTTTTTCTGTTGCACGCAGCACATATGTCAAAACCAGCTGGATCGGACCACTATATCATATAGCTGCCATAGGAACGATCGGTCGAAAATTAAGTTCTTGTATGAAAACACATTTTGTTTTTCAAGATATCTCGACCAAAGTCGGCGTTTATTAGTTTTACTATGCTCCTCGTATATATGCAAAATCCCATTAAGATCAGACCACTACACCATATAGCTGCCATAGGAACGATCGGTCGAAAATTAAGTTGTATGAAAAACATTGTGTTTTTCAAGGTATCTTGACCAAACTCGGCATTGACTATTTTCCCTGTGCTTCTTAAATACGGGCAAGCACTATGGGCATTATGAAAAAGTCGGGTCTGCAAGGGTATTAGATCGGCGTGCCGAAGATAAAGTTTCTTCTTTGTTTAGTTTCAATCTTCTTACCACAAAACTAAAATTTCCGGAAAATGTTAAGATTTTTAGTATTTAACTTGAAATCATATTTAAAAATGTGGGTGAAAAATAACTTTAAATTTGGAGTTAAGTATATGTAGTACTGGTACGAGAAAGTGTACGCATACAAGCAAATTTACTTGTTAGAGCAATTGAAATGTATTAATATTTTGTAAACTACCACTGCAATCAGTGTTTGGTAAAGCCATTTTTTATAGACGAATTTGTTTTTCCGACAAAACGTGAAATTTAATTTTAATGTATTAGATACAAATTCGGCCAAAAAATATATTATATATATTCATTCAGTTATTCAGTTATATCGATGGCCTTAGAAGCTGGCACTCCCTCCCGTTAGTTACAATATTATTTTTTTGTATTATACATAATTAATTACGTTAATAATAATATATTTTTTTAAATTTTTTTTTACTTTAAAAATTGATTTACTATTGTTTTTGTTAGCAACATAGCTGATTTACATATTTTTTTTTGGTTCCTGAACTTGTCATATATTTAATTTACTCTACTTTCAAGTTTAGAGTTTTTTTTTTAATAACTATACTTATATAAAAACACACGTTATATAAGTAATTTAATAAAATAAACATGAATACTTGTTCTTAAAAAATCCTTGTTATACTGGGTAATTGTTGTTGTTGGTGTATTGTTAAAAATAGGTAAAGAGGAAAATGGTATTTTAGTAGTTATAAAGACTCAAAGTTATAACGTCCTACGGCTTACGTGAATGCTTGGACTTGAGAAGGTGGCGCTAGCCCGGGCCTTTTTTGATTCTATAGCAAACAGACTTGGCAGTTCACGAACTTAGACTGCTACAACAAACATGTGATAAAAGCTACTAATACTGTACAAAAATTATTCAACCATGCTTGGGCAAATATTGGCATGAATAATTAAATTTACAAACTACCATATTGCGGAGACAATAACCACAATAGCGTGTACTTCAGCGGCACACAAAAATCCAAACTAAAAACGTGGATAACCTAACAACAAATAGTTTCATAGATTCTGTCCACTGAATACAGCTCTTATAGCCTCTGTCCACTGAAAACATTTTTTACACATATTTGAAAATGTCACATATTTGCAAAATGTGCAAAATGAGAAAACACATTTCACACATTTTTCAAAAATGTCACATTTTTCAAATATGTCACATTTTTGAAAATGTGTAAATTCGCCCCGAACATTTCCTTTTTTTTATGATTAATCGAGATTTCGATCGATGTTGCGGAGAATGTGAAAGTATGATAACCATAAACAGCTGATATATCAAGCGGCAACTTTCAGTATACAATTAAGAGTTAGAACAATTCCGCAAATTTTAGAATTGAAACCTGGCGAAATGTCGAAAAGAGTACCTAATATGGACCCCTTACTTCGGGGTTGCATTATTTGCGTTATGGAAGAAAAACTTTGCGTCGCTTATGTAACTTTAAGCAACTCGATGAACTGTTTATTTAAAGAAGCGGTACTTTTGCACATGCTACAGACAAGCGGTGAGACACCAATATGTGAAATTTGAATATGTGACATACATATTTTAAGCCAGTGGCAGAGGCTATAAACCAATTTGAAAGGTCGCAAAACCAGCATTATCATGTAATTCTTTGAGTTAATTGGTGATGTTATCTTGACTCATTTTATGGAAGTCTTGACACGTTTTGTAAAATTATCGATTGATAACAATCTTTTATTTTCGGACGATGTTTTATAGACTTCCGCTTGCTATCATAACTTCCTTTCGGTTTTAGCTGTGCTTGGAGAGGAACACATCATCTTCAAACATCTGTAAATACTTTGCTTTTATCTATTAATGTCGTAGGTGGATGAAATGTGGAACTTTTAAATTTAATTAAAATTACCCTCGTTAATCAATAATTTTAAATATGGCTTATTTCAGATAGAAAATGGGTCGTCGTCCCGCTAGATGGTATGTGCATATATAACATGTTACAACAAACATATTTTCTGCATACTTTTGTTTAATATCTTCATATTAGTTACCGGTATTGTAAAAACAAGCCGTATCCTAAGTCACGGTTTTGTCGTGGTGTACCTGACCCGAAAATTCGAATTTTCGATTTAGGCAGGAAGAAGGCCACTGTTGAGGACTTTCCACTATGTGTCCATTTGGTTTCCGATGAATATGAGCAATTGAGCAGCGAAGCTCTCGAAGCTGGCCGCATTTGCTGTAATAAGTATCTCGTGAAGTATTGTGGAAAAGATCAATTTCACATCCGAATGCGTTTGCATCCATTTCATGTCATTCGCATAAATAAAATGTTGTCTTGTGCTGGAGCTGATAGGCAAGTTTTTACTCTACACACTGACGATCTTAAATGAACGGTTTAATCCATTGCTCTTTATATATTTTGTAGGCTTCAAACTGGTATGAGAGGTGCTTTTGGTAAGCCGCAGGGCACTGTTGCTCGCGTCAGAATTGGCCAACCAATTATGTCAGTGCGTTCCAGTGACAGGTACAAGGCACAAGTTGTAGAAGCATTGCGTCGTGCTAAGTTCAAATTTCCTGGTCGCCAAAAGGTATTGAAGGAATATTTTTATAAGCATTTGTGAAATTGATGTATATTTAATGTCAATAGATCTACGTATCCAAAAAGTGGGGTTTTACCAAGTACGATCGGGAGCGCTATGAAGAACTCCGTGATGATAATCGCCTTGAACAGGATGGATGTAATGTGAAATACCGGCCTGAACATGGTCCAATAGCCGCTTGGGAAAAGGCGCAACGTGAAGTTTATGCTTAAACCAATAATAAACATCAAAGGATAAATGTCCGTACAGCATACATGTTTCTTGTTCAATGTGATGATTTTTGTTTTTAGAATTTTTGTGCTGTTAAATCGTTAGGAAGCGAGAAAGTTGCTGGAAAGTGGGACAAACCAAAGAATAAATTAACAAGCGTGCTCTAATCAAGAGTGATCGATTAGGAAGTACCAACGACAATGTACATAAATGTACAGTCGCTCACAGCTTATTTGAACCAGTACACTGAAAAAACTTTGGGAAGCAGTAAAAATTAAATTAAAAAAGATATTAAAATGGTATAAATGCAGGTTTTTAAATTATTGTTTCAAGTTTTAAACTATGACTCCATATATAATTTTTAATTTTTTTTTATATCCTGAACCCGTTAAAAATGGGTATATATATTGTATTTGTGCAAAATCCAAATGTATGTAACAGGCAGAAGGAAGCATCTCCGACTCCATAAACTATATATATTCTTGATCAGCACCAATAGCCGAGTCGATCTAGCCATGTCCGTCCGTCCGTCCGTATGTATGAGCCAAAGGATCTCAGAACCTATAAGAGCTAGAGACATTTTATTTTAGATGTAGATGCTCCTAGTTCCCGCGCAGATCGAGTTTGTTTCCGGTAATCGATAACTTACTCCGTTTCCAAGCAATCGATAAAAATCGATATCGACATCCTGTTTTTTTTTTTTTAGCAAATTGGGTAAATAATAAGAGCTAGAGCCACCAAACATGATATGCTGCTTCTAGAATATTATAGATATTTCAAGTATCTTTCACTTCCACCCCAGAGCTATAAATCAAGTTAATACCCCAACTTTTATTGCCAACCAATTTAAACCACAATTTAAATGCAATTGATTTTTTCAGAATACACAAATATTCTATGGTACAATAAGATATACTGTAGATAGATAATTTCATAAAGATCGGTTAAAAAAAACCAAAGTTATATGCAACTGCGCAATTGAATGGGACAGCAGCTTTAAGAATTTCTGTATACATGTACACACACACATTCATGCGCGTCTGCTCCGCATTCTAATAGCATGGTAATTGCATCTTTTTTTTGTAATGTTATTTTAGTTTTTTTTTTTTATCGTAAGTACTTAATTGTTGGTGTGGCTGCTGAGTAGAGGCATAGCAAGTGGTGCGGTCTGTCGCGAGTTCGAGCCCTACCGGGGAAAGTATTATTATTTTTTTTTTTGCTGGTGTGGCTGTTGAGTAGAGTCGACAGTAAGTAATGTGGTCAGTTGCAAATACGAGTCCTGCCAAGGGAACTTTTTTCTATTAATTTATTTGGTGTTGGAATAAGAGGGTTCAGGGTATCCCCTAGTCGGGAGCTCCCGACTAGAACCTCTTACTTGTTTTAACATATAACAACTTAAAAAAATACCCAACACAATGTCGTAATGTTTAGTATGACCACCCTTGTGGTCAATAACCATTTTGAGCCCTTTTGGCATGGATGCTACCAACTTTTGGGTATCCTGTGGCGTAATTTTGGTCCATTCCTAAACCAATGCAGTTTTTAGATCTAACTTATTAGATATTTTGCGTTTGCGAATGTTTTAATCCAAAATGGACCACAAATTTTCGATTACATTTATGTCTGGCGACTGTGCCGGTGGCTGCATAACATGTGGACAGTTCAAGATCAACTATGTCTGAACAATGCCCGACTTATGTTTAGGGTCATTATCTTGGTAAAATCAGAAAACATCCCGTATGCCCAGATTTTCCGCACTTTCTATTCAATTTTTTTTCAAAATCTCAAGATATTGAGATTTGTCCATTGTAGTCTCAATTAATTGCAGATTTCCAATGCCGGCTGCCGACATACAGGCCCAAACCATAACGCTCCCACCGGCATGTTTTACCACAGCCTTCAAATTTTTTATTTGCAGCTCTGTATTTGGCTTACGCCACACATATCCATATCCATCAGAGCCAAAAATATTAATTTTGGACTAATTGCAGAATATGACGGTATTACAAAAACTTGTCCTTATTAAAGTGCTCCTGGGCCAACCTTAAGCGGCAATTCTTATTTTTATCACTAATAAAGGGCTTCTTGCGCGCTATTCTGCCAATTAATCATGTTCCCTAAGCACCCGGCGAATAGTTTCTGGGTGGCATGACTTGCCTAACTCTTCCTTCACATCATTGGCTATTTTTGGAGCCGATAGCCTTGGATTTTTCCGGATTTTTCGAACAATATAACGCTCGTCGGTTGAATTAAAATTTTTTTTGGGATTTTTCCCCTTAACGTGGGTTCTATTTGCTCGGACAAATCGGTATATTAAGCTCTGCACTGTAGCATCACTCAGTCCAACCATTTCACCAATTTTCCTGCGAGAATGGCCGTTTTTAAAATGATTGATAACGAGTTCTCTCTGCTCGATAGTTGTTCGTGGTCCGCTAAATACAATTTCTGCAAGATCAGTTTAAATAGCTTTGCAAAGTTTTTTTTTAATGTACTGGTTGAAATAAGCTTAGCGCCACTGTATAAACAACAAGGTAACGAAAAATTTCTAGTGGATTTTTGCCCGTCAAACGTCACGCCAGTTGACGGTTTTCGCTCACCAAATACGAGCGAATGGCGGGGTCGCGGTTTATTGGTGGAGACACGAGCAACGTCATTTCGTTTTCGAAGTGCAATGGAATATAAGATCTATTACCTTAAATACAATTGTAATATATATAAACTTTCTATGGCACAACATCCGTCCGTTTGTAACTCAGGGTCTCAACACATAATAGAGCCAGAGACATGACTTTAAACGTAGGTCCAAAGTTATTTGATTTTAAGAGCTAGAGTCGCCAAATTTTGTCATGTAATGTAATATGCAGGTTAAGTATCTTGCATTTTAAGCTATCGCCACCTAACGCATATATTCATAATCAATTTTAATGCAATTGTATTTTTAAGAATATACGAATATTCTATAGCATAATATGATCTACTGCTGAAAATAAAGTTAGGAAACAAAAGTTATTCAGCGAAACGTGTGCAAGTTATCACCCAGCGCGCAAGGCAATTCTTATTGCAATCATAAACAACATTTCAGTATAAGTCGCTATCCCAATTACATAGCCCTTTCAGACTTATTAGACCAGTTTCAATCACTACGTGCACTTAACGCACAGCTGCAGCTCTGCTAACATAAATATCCAGATTCCCGGCTCTAACATAAACATAACAGCGCAACCACTTAACATAAAGATTCATATTCTCATGCTCAATTTATAACGTAAACTAAAGACCCAGTCTCTAGAACGCAATTGCTAACGTAAACATGACTCAAAGCGTCTAGCTTACGCAAGCCACCCCCGCGAGCTTTTAAACTTTAAGGAATGAAGCTTTAGCATAAACACAGCTGATTCGCAGCATAAGATCACCGCGAGCTTTTGAGCTTTAAGAGAATAAGCTTTATCATAACCATAGCTGACTTGCAGCATAAGTTCACAATTGTACTGTAGTTCTAATCTTGGATTCAAATAAATCGGAAGCCTTCAGCCTCCCACTTAAAAACATATTTTTTCCAATGAGTAGCCACTAATCGGTTAATTGGCGCTCTACGTGGGGCTCGCGATTATAAACACAAAAAAGGATAATTAAAAGAAACAAAATCCTTAGTGATTCGCGAGTGAGCAAAAGTGCCGATTTACCAGTCCAAGATTGTCTCAAAATAGCATTAAAAATTTTCTAAGAACGAAAATATCGAGTGCCTCTAAAAGAAACATTAAAAATTTCCGACGAACGGAAATACACTGTTTCTGAAAACTTGAAGATTAGTGAAAATACGCTGAGCTGGAAAATATTGATTGTTCACAAGACTTAAAAGTGAAATCAAATTTTCCCCTTCAAGTTAATTAAAACATACCAATAAATTAATCGATCAAAGAAGCGAAACAAATATTTTTGCCAACAAAATTTTTTTAACCAAATAAAAAAACCTGAGACTCCCATAAAAAGAAGACCCAAAAACCCAGAAGGAAGGAAGGAAGGAAGACTTGAACGACATATGTCGTTAAATATGTCGTTATGTCACCCATAAAGAAAGACCTTTTACGTGAGCCATCATCATTTACTTTAAAAATAATTTTTTTTTTTTTAGTAATTAGAGTTTAGATTTGTGTAAGCCTTTGTTAGAATAATGAGTGTTATAAACTGGATAGCCATATAGAAAGTTTAATTGAAGATTTTCAAAATTTAAAAATGGCTAACAATAATAACTTGACAGCTGATTTGGTAGCTCAGTTGATTGCAACTCAGACCATAGCGCTTCAGGAGAAAATTGCAGAATTGAAGTTACAAATCACTCTCTCATCTAATAATGAACAAGAATATAAGATTACTGAAATAAATGACCTTATTCGTTGCGATGAATCTTTTGATGTTATCAAGTCCATACCAGAATTCTCAGATAGCTATAATGCATATGTTAGTTGGCGCGAAGCCGCTTGCTGTGCCATGCGAATGTATAAAAAAGGAAGTAGAAAGTACGTAGGTGCTTTAACAATATTAAGAAATAAAATAACAGGTAAAGCTAATGACAACTTGACAACCTTTCATCACAGGTCTTAACGGTTCTTTATCAGAAGTTTTGTTCTCCCTTAAACCTGAAAATTTGCCTAATGCCTTGGCCAAAGCTCAGGAACTGGAAGCGAATTACCAAAGGGCTAACTTCGCTTACCACCATTTCGCAAATACCCATCAACGTAACAATCTAAGCCCAGGGCATAACAATCAGCAAAAGAAAGCTCAATCCCCAAGACAACCTAATAAAAGATATGTCAATCACTTAAGGCTCAATCAAGTTCCACAAAATCAAATTTTTGCGCAAAGCAACAAGACTCCTCAACCTCCACCGGAGCCCATGGATGTAGACAAATCCATACAACTACAGAATACACCTTATCCGTATCCCCAAAATCGAAATTCGGCTCAACCAAAGAAACGGGAATAAGCTCCCCCTTCGGTTCAGCAACCCAACAAACTCATGCGTATCAATAACCTCGAGGAAGA